CTGAATATTTCTATGATTAATACTTTTAGTTATAAATAAATAAATACAACTATTTTTATGTCTACCTTATTATATTTTGAGGGCCTTTGTTTTCCTTTGGGCTGCCTTTGTTATTGTATGGTCTGTTTTTGACTTTTTGTTGCCTTCTCACATGGTTATCAACTTGGACCCATGTAGACCCTGATTCACAAAACTATAATTTCAGTAACCAGTAACTGGTTCTGTAATTCCCTTTAGTGTTCGGCGTTGTAAAGGAAATATCTAAGGATATCTGAATTTTGTTTCTTTATTACAGATACTCTTCATGTATCTGGATAACTATAGAATTTTTCTTTTTCCATGAACTTAAAATGTTCACCAGGATTTGCCAATATGTTGGTATGTTTAAATTAACTTTATTCCTGGCTTGTGGTAAATATTTTCAATCTATGCCCAAATTTCATTTTTGGCAATTTTTTTTCTTCTAGTATATCTTATTTCTTCTACTTACTTCCTCGTCCTCACGTTGAAATGCCTGTAGTATGGATTTTCCTCTGTTTTCCATCATTGCCATATTTCATATTGCTGCTAATCTGTAGCATATATTATCCCATTTACTGCCTTCAATGTGTATTTTAATTTTTCAAAATGCTTGAATATCTTTAGTTCTTTTATCATCTTTGGCAAATGTCTTGTCTTCTGATTTCACGTTCGCCAAGTCTCTGCTAAAAATCAGACATGGTTCATATCACATCAGCCTCACAACCTAGACACTATCAAGTAGTCTCTGAAAGAAATAAGGAGTTCAAAGTGCTTTCCATTTTATTCTGCAGACTTTTGCATTGTCCACAATGGGAAGGCAGAAGGGAAAATAAATGAGATGACTCGCACAAATTTAAGCAATGTTTAAGCCACTTTTAAAGCACCTAGTATTAATATATCTCTCATCCAGCATTGTCAATTGTATTGTTACACAGTCATCCTTTCCATACGACTATCCACAACTACAATTTAAGAATGTATCTCTCATATTTTGAAAGTAATAGGAAATATTTACATTTATCTGGCTTTAGAAATAAGATTGTGACAAAGATTGTGTCAAATAAGATTGTGACAATCGCAAAATAAGATTGTGAACCCAGACACAGTAGGTGTCTTCTGCATAGTTTTTTTTTCAGGATCTGACAGTATTTTTGAGCAACACATTGACCCTAGCTCTATGTATCAAGCCATTGACCTTTATTTCCAAATTGTAACTCTATGAAAATTTTAGGATCATATTTATAACTTATTTCAGATTGTTGGATGATTGCTTAATAGGAAATGAGGATAGATTTTTCACTTCTTAATGTTGTAAGAACATGTCATTTTTATAAATCACTGAATTCCAAATTTGAAATTTCCTGTACAGCTAGTTTAGGATGGTTCATAACAAATCTATCAATGATCCTTTTGAAATATTTCTGTATATTAATCTGTGCATATCCATAAGAATTCTTTCTCTGATTATATAAATTGTAAAAGCAGGAGAAAATTCTAGAATTTATATTACATTGACTATTCCTCACTGTTTTCTGTCTCTGACATCTTACCAACTTCAAGGAAACACAGAGGGGTTGCTATTCAATCCTTTCTGTTATGGACTGCAGACATGTGAATAATCGTTCAAGAAAGGAAGAGTGTTCTGCCTTACAAATATTGTACCATTGTGTGTTTTTAAAATGTTTTAAACATGGACTCTCCATAGAAAGTAAAATTCAGAAAGGCATAATGAATTTCTGCAACCTGGTCAAATTTTATTAATAGATTTAGTTTGTTTTTAAAAACTGCAGAAGAAAAGCATATGTTTGGTGGTTGAGAAAAAATATCTCTAGTCACACAATTTCTCATGATTTAAGAATGTAGAAATGGGCATAAGTTGGATCTATCTATAGTATATGACTTTTTATATTATATCAAAATTAAAATGTAAATCTTTTTTCTAAGAACCTCAAAACCTTTATAAAAGACATTCTTATCCTTGTTATCTAATAGTTGCCATGATAATAGATTGTATTTATTTTGTTTTATTTTCTTTCAAAGTGCTTCTCTGTATGTTTTTTCTGCTTTGTGGGATGTATTTTACTACACAAAGAATGAATGTTTTGAATAGATTATAAATTATTTTCTTGTATGTGAATAAATGCATGCTTTCTATGTTTAGTGTGCAATGAATTCTAAGCCCAGCTATACCATTAACTCGAGATTTGGGAGAATTCACTGAACTTCGGATTTTGGATTACTCATCTGTACAATAAATTACCACTAAGCCTCAGAGACAGAAACTCCAACAAAATGATTTTGTGATATTAATATTTATAATGCTTTCTAACAGAAATGGTCATTTGAAAATTCAATTTTTCCCTTCCTCCTTTTCACAGAGTACTTTAGCCTTTTAGTTTGTTCCTTTCTTGTCCTTATCTTAATGGTTTTATCATTCCCTATTTTTCCACAAGTGTTGTATGACAATAAGCATCTTTATTTGTTCCTCTAAGTTTCCTTTTTCGTTAAATAATACCATCAGCTCATTTATACTGCTCTCCAAACTCAATTGCTTCTAAGACATGTGGAATTGAGTATTATGAGGCCAGGCACCTCATGTTCCTCTGTTCTATCCCCCACATCCCTAAAGAAGGGGCTGACTTACGTACCCTAAAAATTTACATCAGGTGTTATCAGCTGCAGGCGCACTGCATTATAGTAGACTGGGCAGGAAGTATCACCTCATTTTTCATATGAAGAAATTGATAGATATTGACTTAGAAGGTTAGGAAATAATGTGGATACAGCCTATTGGTTCAAGGTAATTTTTCTAATCCGAGACTGTACCTGAGTATGCAGTCACAGATAGGCTGATAGGGGAAAAGCAGGGCAGCGGTGGGAGTAGTGACAGAGAGAGAAAAAAAGAATGAAAGTCTTTTCTATGATCATCCAAAAAGGCCATGAGCAATGGAATCCAAATATCTCAATACTCAGCCCACTGATTTCTTTTTGACAAATAATGTTGGGCATTTTGTCATTAAAAAATGATAAAAATCAAGTATTTGAAAGCTAAATACTATTTGTAAATTTTAGCCAAAAAAAAGCCTGAACTTCTATTAAGATTACCAAAAGAATGGCATCTTTTATGGATAACACACAAAATAAAGTTTATATTTTAATGTGGAACAACTTTAGGGTGTTATGTACAATAAAATCTATATGACATTCATTCACATCAAAGTAAGAACAGCACAGTTGAATGTAAACTGAATTCATCTGTGCAGATAGATAATCCACAGGGAAAAATAAAGAGCTTTTCCTTGGCATATGAAAGACTTTCAGTGATTTGTTGGAATCTCTTTTTATCAGAATCAAGTGGAGGAGTCTTTTGTATGGCTATGAGGTTTTGGATGACAGGTGAATTTCAAAGATAACTGGCATTTGTTGTAAATATAATCAGTGTTGTACAATCAGCATTCATATAATACAACGTCTTATTCCTTTATGCTTTGTATCTTTTTGGTAGCATGTTAAGTATTTTTACTATTTTAATTACAATATATGAAAGTGTTTACTGAATAAGAAGTCTCTATGGAAAACCAAATACTCTAGGAAGGTGTCAAAATGAAAATGATTTTTAATTTTTTCTAGGCCACAGAAATTGTTCTCAACTGCTGTTGTGTACATAAATCTTAAAGACGCTAATAGAAAAAGCAAGCAATTCAATAAGATGGTTCGACTTGAGGACTAAGAGTTGAGGGAGGAGAGAGGAAGAACGGGGCAGGGAGGGAACAGCTTTGCTGTCTTTTACTAGAGGTTATTTGGGCCTTGGTTGATAGTGATTAAATTATAACAACCCAAATAAAAAGTACTACAAAGAGCCCTACCCCGTAAGCCCCAGAAACTACCAGCCCTAAGAGTGAAGGCAGGAGATGCATAAATGAGTGATGCATATACATAAACTCATATACAAAAGCACATATATATATACCTATATCATACCCTTGAAATGATTTTGGAATCAAAACCATCTAAGAGTGAATAGTAAACCATCAAGCAGAGGGATGACAACAAAAATCACTAGATTAAATGAGAAAAACTAGTTTTGAGATCAGTTCTGGCATACATAAGCTAAACAGCCTTGGAGAATCACAGAACAATGGAGGGTCCTTATGTTCCTTTCACATAAGGAAACAGGCATATGTTTTCTTCTGCCTAAAAGGAGTTGATTAGATTGGGTTAAGTTGGATGATCTCTAAGATCATTCTGTTTCTAACAACTGCTATTCTGTGATTGTGCACTCAGTCTTTCACACCGTTTCCAGATAAATAATTCCTCCTACCCTGCCTTTTTGCCAAGTAGATGGCTTCATGAGTAAATATCAGGCTCTCTGAAATGGGTGCCTGACAAAGCTGTTTCTAATGATACTATTTCTTCTTTCTTATGTAATACATTCCCCATATGAAGAAAAGAAAAAAAAAATCCACAGCCTATAATATTAACAGTATTTGCATATTTTAGCTGGACGTATCTCCTTAAAGGTTGAGGGGTGAGGAGAGAAGAAATGAGCAACTGTCAGACTTGATAAAGATTTTGTCAAACCATATTCAAATCTGCCACTTATTAAAGGTGTGATCCTTGGAAAGTTTTTTAATAGCCGTGACTCTCCATTTTCTTATATAAATTTTTAGAAAATAATATTACCTACCTCACAAGATTGTTAGCAAAGTAAATTTGAAAATGCACATAGAATTTAGCATAAATTCAAAACATAGTTCTTGAGGAATGTTAATTGTTGTTATATATCTGTTACTAAATATTTCTCATCACAATAATTGCAAGAGTAGGAGGGGGGATAAATTTTTGCTGTTTACCTAACTTTATGCTGTTATACACACATTTCGTAACTTTGCTTGAAAGCTTGAAGGAGATGACCATGAGATATTGAAAACATTGTGAAATGCTACAGTCCATTTTATGAGCTCAAATGTTTTAAATGTTTCACCATTTATAAGGTGATGCTGTTTTCTTCTTAAAGCTTAACACACATATCTAAGCATGCTCCATTTGCTTTCAGCGATTGCTGGCCCTAATAAGCCTGAGAGTGGATTTGCAGAAGACAGTGCTGCTCTGGGCGAGGTTGTGTCAGACCTCCACGAAGTGGTCTCCCTGAAGGAGAGGATGGCAAGGTACCAGGCAGCCGTTTCCAGGGGTGACTGCCGCAGCTTCTCTGCTAATGTAAGCTGCTTCTAATGGTTTTGCATTAGGCAATGTGCTTACTGTCTGTCCCAATTCCCTCTTTACATTTGAAATGTAAGACTACTACTGGACAGGGAGCTAAAGTAGAAAGAGTACAAAAATAGTGTGTGAAATAAATCCAGACTATCTGAATTTAAGTTTCAACTGTGCTACTTATTACTTGCGTGAATTTGACCTTTTTTTTTTTTTTGAGATGGAGTCTTGCTCTGTCATCCAGGCTGGAGTGCAATGGCTCAGCCCACTGCACCCTCCACCTCCTGGATTCAAGTGGTTCTCTTGCCTCAGCCTCCCGAGTAACTGGGATTGCAGGAGCATGCCAGCGTACTCAGCTTTCTATTTTTAGTAGAGACGGGGTTTCACGATGTTAGCCAGGATGGTCTTGATCTCTTGACCTCATGATCCTCCCACGTCAGCCTCCCAAAGTGCTGGGATTACAGGCGTGAGCCACTGCGCCCGGCCTTGAACTACTGTCTTAACTTCTCTCTGAGCTTCAGTTTCCTTGGCTGAAAAATGGGGATCATCATTTACCACACAGAGTCTTGGTGAGGAATCAGAGAGACAATTTACGTGAAAGCCATAAGGCACTGTATACATCTGTTATTATCGTCGTCATTATCACTTAACCTGTAGATATTCTCCTCAGGAAGGTTGGGAATTAATTTCAAATTTTAATAATGTGGGTTTGCATGTCACCTTCCTTGGTCTCATACATGGTTCATTGAAATTCACTGGCAGTATAATTTCTTTGGCTTTTCTCGTTTCTCTGTATGTACTAAATCCATTAGGAAAGGTTTAATCAACATAAAAATGAGAGAGATTAGCAATGTAGACACTCTGATAAACCAATTATGATTATAGGAAACTGCAAGATTCGGTAAGATCACCAATATTTAGAGCCAATGCATTATAAAGTCATATTCAAAAGAATTTTTGGGTTCTGTATTCTGTGGCCTTCAACTTAATGGAATATAAGAAAGTTCTTTTATAATTATAATCTCCAAATTAGCCTAGTTGTGTATGAGAGAGAGAGAGAGAGAGAGAGAGAGAGAGAGAGAGAGAGAGAGAAGCCAAAAAAAAAAGGTAGTGTATTAAAATAGCTACACTTAACATGCTTCTTTACAAATTATTTAGAGACAAGGCTGATTGTGCCAAATTCATTTAAAAAATGCAATTCTAGATGACATTTAAGTTTTCACATAGTCATTAAAATACATTTTAGACACAGCTTAGATTTGGAATGAATGTGCAGAAGTGACAGAAGTATCTAGATCACTTCCAAAATAAACAGTGGCACTACAGTACCTCCTGCCAGTCTTCTTCGATGGCACCCCCTGCTGGATCATTGAGGAACTTATTCGTGTTCTAAATTAGAGAAATGATTCATGAGGAAACAGTTGATTTTGAAAATGCCTAGTTAAAGACTGGTTATTTAATAAACAATATTTGATTTAGGAAGATTGATCTTGCCAGTTACTATGAGAATATACATTTAAAAAGTGGTATCAGGGCATGATATATATTTATAATGTGTTTAAAAAGGGACTGTTTATATTGGACGCATAAGGAAACTAAATGATCCCATTATTTAATACAAAAGCAAAAACTTTAGGGCTAATCTGAAAACGTCTACATATAAAGAATTTAGTAATCCTCTCTTCCCTGCACACTTTATAGACAAGAAAACCAAGAGAAAGTTACTTATAGGAGATTATAAAATTAGGTAGTGAGGAGGCCAAGCTAGATTCCTAGTCTCTTGACTCTTGTACACTTCTAACTGAATTCAACTTCCTCCTCTTTCCTAAATGAGAAAGCCTTTTTGGCCCCTAAATAAATATTATACTATATGGTTTGGCCCTAAGCAAATACTGTGAGAAAGAAGAGCACATACATTATCTCAGCGGAATCCTGGTAAATATCTAAAGCAAAGCAAAATAATTGTTTATTTAATCATGTGCATGAAATGCTTGTTCAAGCCACCCCCAACACACCAAAAATATCATGGAAACTGCCTGTGACTACATCTGTATCTCCACAATTAGCCCAAAATTTTAAGTGCAAAATCTGGAAGTCACAGAATCAGACCCAAACTGAATCTACTATATTTCAATCATATTTACACATGTAAAGACAATCTATTTTTCCTTGTCTTAGACTCAATCAGATGGCATTTGGTTGTATCTAAATGAAAGTTATGCCTGTGAAACAGTGGTGGTCTGTAGAAGCCCCCTAAAAGAGAGGGAAAAGTAACACTTGTCGTACAATGAATTAAAATGCCAGATTCATTTTCAAGTCTGTGCAATTTTATTCCCTTTACCTTTTATAATACTCACAATAAATCTGTGAGAAAAATATTTCTAGGCCCAGTTTATAAGAAAGAAACTCGAGTTCAAGAGCTGTAGCCCAAGATTTTAATTGTCAGGCCTGGAATTAGAAGCACTATCTGTCCAACTCCCAAAATTATATTATTTCTTTTATGCCCTATAAACCAATAATCGTTTTTGTAAAAAGAACTTGAGGACAGTGTAATGTATTTACCTAGATTTAACTGTTAAGTGTTCAAATTAACATATTATTATCAGCATACCCATTAGATTCCAAACCTTATTGCTGAGCCAAATAATAAGAAACACAGAAGAATAATAAACATAAAAAGTTTCAACACAAAGCAATTTCAGTTATGTGGTCAATGATAACAACATTCATTAGTTAGGACATTTAGAGCATGACGCTAAATAATGCAAAGTCACAGGAAAGGTTCCCACCTGAGCAAGGAAGCGTTACTCCCGGTTATGGCCACAGACTGCTTCTTGGGCAAGTCCTGGCATCTCTCGTGTGTAAACTTTCATCTACATGCTGAGTGGAACAAGGAAGCCTTAGCATCACCACTGAACCGTATTTCAGAAGATTTGTCTCACTTGGGTGAATGAGCAGCTGCAGTAGCGTAATGATAGTACCAAGGGTAGTAGGGATGGTATTAGTACTACTATTAAAAATAATCTGCGGTGGTTCACGCCTGTAATCCTAGCATTTTGGGAGGCCAAGGTGGGTGGATCACCTGAGGTCAGCAGTTCAAGACCAGCCTGGCCAACATGATGAAACCCCATCTCTACTAAAACACACACACAAAAAAAATAGCCAAGCATGACGGCGGGTGCCAGTAATCCCAGCTACTAGGGAGGTTGAGACGGGAGAATCGCTTGAACCCAGGAGAGGGTGGTTGCAGTTAGCCGCGATCATGCCACTGCACTCCAGCCTGGACTGCTGAGTGACAAGACTCCATCTCAAAAAAAAAAAAAAAGAAAAGAAAAATCAACTGTATGAATTTTTCCTTGTGTAATATAGTCTGTTTCTAAAGTGCAGTGCTAAAGGAAAGTAATGGGTGTATCTGTTTTGTTTTGTTTTTTTGAGATAGAGTCTTGCTCTGTTGCCCAGGCTGGAGTGCAGTGGCACAATCTCGGCTCATTGCAACCTCTGCCTCCTAGGTTCAGGCAATTATCCTGCCTCAGCCTCCCAAGTAGCTGGAATTACAGGCATGTGCCACCATGCCCGGCTAATTTTTGTACTTTTTTAGTAGAGATGGAGTTTCCCACATGTTGACCAGGGTTGTCTCAAACTCCTGACCTTGTGATCCGCCCACCTTGGCCTCCCAAAGTGCTAGGATTACAGGCGTGAGACACCGCGCCAGGCTGGTATATCTGTTTTTAAATCCATTTTATAGATGAGAGGCAACCTGTCCAGCATAAGAATTGATCTTTTTGTGAAAATGCACTTACCAGGAGAGCATCCAGTTGTAAGCATAATAGTAAGGCTTGCCAGATTAATTTGCACATGATTAGGACATCATAATAGTTGTTTGAAACAGCAAGGTTCTTCTTAATAATTACCTTAATGTCTATAATTTAATACTTATATATTATCTATATATAATTTATCCAGGAAAGCCACTTATATAAATTAAATGGCAGAAGGGGGAAAATAAATATTGTGGCCTTAATTCACCCTTCCCATTTTTCTCTGTGTCTTAAATTTCAAAAGGGGTGGTGTACATTTTTATGACCTTAATATACATCAACTAGAAGTAATTGATTAGGATTTACATTTGAAGTTTGTTGCAAAATTTGATACAATATATACCTAGTTCATAGAAGAGTACAATCATCTCTTCTCAAAGGGCCAGCAGGCATATTCTGAAATATTTGATAGTCCGCATAAATGAGGATATGTTATTAACCTACTAAAGTCACCATTTGAGTATTTGCTAGTAATTTAGATAATCCTAAATATTAGTTTATAATATTCTGGAGTATGGGAAACCCAAACCTCTAGATAGGCACTACGTTTTTAATATCTATTTGAAAAACTACTTATTTGGGTAAATATCCAGGACCCCAAAGTCCCCAGTCCTCGGTATAGAAACCTCTCAGCTCCTGGGCCCTCAGTTACTTTCGACGTCTTAAGGCATTGAGGGTTATGTCAGGACTGGGTCAGACCTCAGGAGACCTGCTCTTACTTGAAGTGTTGCCAAGTCTTCCAGTTGCAAGGAGACCTAGAATCTTCCTGGAGGAGGGAAGGCTGGCATGGGGCCTGTTTGCTTGAGAGTTATCCCATCTGGGCTTGACTGCCTGCTGGGCTCTGGAGTGTGCTGAATCATCAAAACCAATGCACCTGAGCTACTTCTGCACTTCCTGAAGGGGCATAGGTCTTACAGGACTACTAAGGTGCTTTTCAAATTGCTTCCAATGATACCTATCGAAATTAGTTTTTTCATTTGTGAAATGACAGTGGTAGACTAGAACGCTTCTAATGTGAAAGTCCCCTGATTCTGACATGCCAGTGCTCAGAGCTGATGCCTGGGGTGTGCTAATCCTGGAGTAGTATAACTGCTGGTTTTCTGCCTATTCTTTGAGGCCAGTGATGAAGACAGACAGATGTGAATTGAAATTCCAGTGCCAGCACTTCTGTTCTAGCTGTGAGAATGTAATAAGCTGTCTTACTTCTCTAAGTCTCAATTTCCTTATTTTAAAATGTGGGTAATAGGTGTCCATATCTCACAGAATATGGGGAAGCATTAAATGACAAAATATGTCATTTAATACATACAAAATCACTTAAGTAGTCTCATTACTCATATTAATATTTTTACATAAGGAATATTCTGAGGCTATTTTGTTCATCCTTAATAATTTAAAAAATTTGGAGTAAAAATGATTTTAAAATTATTCTTAATAATGTGTTCCCTATATAGATGTTTGGGATTTTAATGACAACTTTATTGTGGGTTCAAATTGAGTCCATTATTCTAATATCCACTAGTCTGTATATTACAGGAGAAATACTGTGCAATCTAATAGGTCTTATCTGCAGACATCAAAATTTATCTGAGATTAGGAGAATTAACTCAATACTTTGAAGATTCTTCTGACTTTATATCAAAAGACTGATAAATGAGAAAACAACCCAGAAAGAATATATTTATTAAGGTTTTTGTTAAAGGCATACTGAAATAATGGTGTATGTGAATATCTTTTTAAGATACTGCCTATCAATAAATGTCAACTATTTTAAAAATAGCTTGAGAATCCCATCCTGCACAGCTATAAAGCTGAATTTTCCTTTTTCTTAAATCATCCTAGATGATGGAAGAATCAGAAATGTGCACAGTGCCTGGTGGTTTGGCCAAGGTGAAGAAACAATTTGAGGATGAAATTACTTCTTCCCGTAATACCTTTGCTCAATACCAGTATCAACATCAGAACAGATCTGAGCAGGTAATACTACTACAGGTGATAGGTAAATCAGGCATGGTTGAAATGCTCTCATTTTGGTGCCAATGTAGAAATCTCCTTTCTTTAGTGATACATTTATTTTCATTGCTCATTAACAAACACTGTAACTTTGAAATGTTTTAGAAAATCATCTTTAAGACATATATATGTATTTATTTACTTACTTGAAGCATTTTTGCCAAATTCTAGAGATCATGCTGGAATATTCTACCTCTCATCTTCTAATGTTTCAGACATAAATGAAAATTAAGTAGTCTAGGTTAGTCAACAGGTAAATTGAACTGTTAAGAGTAATGTTTATACTGAGTCTCTGCTTCTAGGTTATAATTCATAATAAACTAGCTGCTGGTTGCTTGCATAGATTAAGTTGGAAGCATTATTCAGCTGTTTATTGTGGTGGAGAGTTTTCTGTTTTCTTTAAAATCCTCAAACACTGAATAGTAGAGCCCAGATGTTACATAAAACCACATAATCTGACCTCTAAATGTTATCTTATATAAAATTTTTTCCCATTTCATTGATTTCATTATTTCATTATTATATATTACAAAATACTGTCATGAGATTTAATGATTTTTGAATGTGAGAATCTTAGCAATAAACCTCATCAGACTTGAAAATTTTTAATAGTAATTACACTGTAAACAGCTGTACGTAGGCCCATGTTTTCCATGAGGAAGGAGACAACTGAGGTAATTCTTAAATTTTGTAGTGAGAAATGAAGTGGATGTATTTTTTTTTAATCTGCAGGACATATAGAGTTGCCTAAATTTTTTGTTTTGTTTTGTTTTGTTTGTTTTTTTGTCATTCTACTGGTTTTTTTGTTTGTTTGTTTGTTTTTATACTTTAAGTTCTAGGGTACATGTGCATAACATACAGGTTTGTTACATATGTATACTTGTGCCATGTTGGTGTGCTGCACCCATCAACTCGTCAGCACCCATCAACTCATCATTTACATCAGGCATAACTCCCAATGCAATCCCTCCCCCCTCCCCCCTCCCCCCTCCCCATAATAGGCCGTGGTGTGTGATGTTCCCCTTCCCGAGTCCAAGTGATCTCATTGTTCAGTTCCCACCTATGAGTGAGAACATACGGTGTTTGGTTTTCTGTTCTTGCGATAGTTTGCTGAGAATGATGATTTCCAGCTGCATCCATGTCCCTACAAAGGACAAAAACTCATCCTTTTTTATGGCTGCATAGTATTCCATAGTGTATATGTGCCACATTTTCTTAATCCAGTCTGTCACTGATGGACATTTGGGTTGATTCAAAGTCTTTGCTATTGTGAATAGTGCTGTAATAAACATATGCGTGCATGTGTCTTTATAGCAGCATGACGTATAATCCTTTGGGTATATACCCAGTAATGGGATGGCTGGGTCATATGGTATTTCTAGTTCTAGATCCTTGAGGAATCGCCATACTGTTTTCCATAATGGTTGAACTAGTTTACAATCCCACCAACAGTGTAAAAGTGTTCCTATTTCTCCACATCCTCTCCAGTACCTGTTGTTTCCTGACTTTTTAATGATTGCCATTCTAACTGGTGTGAGATGGTATCTCATTGTGTTTTGATTTGCATTTCTCTGATGGCCAGTGATAACGAGCATTTTTTCATGTGTCTGTAGGCTGTATGCATGTCTTCTTTTGAGAAATGTCTGTTCATATACTTTGCCCACTTTTTGATGGGATTGTTTGTTATTTTCTTGTAAATCTGACTGAGTTCTTTGTAGGTTCTGGATATTAGCCATTTGTCAGATGAGTAGATTGCAAAACTTTTCTCCCATTCTGTAGGTTGCCTGTTCACTCTGATGGTAGTTTCTTTTGCTGTGCAGAAGCTCTTTAGTTTAATTAGATCCCATTTGTCAATCTTGGCTTTTGTTGCCATTGCTTTTGGTGTTTTAGACATGAAGTACTTGCCCATGCCTATGTCCTGAATGGTATTACCTAGGTTTTCTTCTAGGGTTTTTATGGTATTAGGTCTAATATTTAAGTCTCTAATCCATCTTGAATTAATTTTTGTATAAGGAGTAAGGAAAGGATCCAGTTTCAGCTTTCTACTTATGGCTAGCCAATTTTCCCAGCACCATTTATTAAATAGGGAATCCTTTCCCCATTTCTTGTTTTTCTCAGGTTTGTCAAAGATCAGATGGCTGTAGATGTGTGGTATTATTTCTGAGGACTCTGTTCTGTTCCATTGGTCTATATCTCTGTTTTGGTACCAGTACCATGCTGTTTTGGTTACTGTAGCCTTGTAGTATAGTTTGAAGTCAGGTAGCGTGATGCCTCTATCTTTGTTCTGTTGACTTAGGATTGTCTTGGCAATGCGGGCTCTTTTTTGGTTCCATATGTACTTTAAAGCAGTTTTTTACCAATTCTGTGAAGAAAGTCATTGGTAGCTTGATGGGGATGGCATTGAACCTATAAATTACCTTGGGCATTATGGCCATTTTCACAGTATTGATTCTTCCTATCCATGAGCAAGGTATGTTCTTCCATTTGTTTGTGTCCTCTTTTATTTCACTGAGCAGTGGTTTGTAGTTCTCCTTGAAGAGGTCCTTTACATCCCTTGTAAGTTGGATTCCTAGGTATTTTATTCTCTTTGAAGCAATTGTGAATGGAAGTTCATCATGGTTTGGCTCTCTGTTTGTCTATTACTGGTGTATAAGAATGCTTGTGATTTTTGCACATTAATTTTGTATCCTGAGACTTTGCTGAAGTTGCTTATCAGCTTAAGGAGATTTTGGGCTAAGATGATGGGGTTTTGTAAACAGACAATCATGTCATCTGCAAACAGGGACAGTTTGACTTCTTCTTTTCCTAGCTGAATCCCCTTGATTTCTTTCTCTTGCCTGATTGCCCTAGCCAGAACTTCCAACACTATGTTGAATAGGAGTGGTGAGAGAGAGCATCCCTATCTTGTGCCAGTTTTCAAGGGAATGTTTCCAGTTTTTGCCCATTCAGTATGATATTGGCTGTGGGTTTGTCATAAATAGCTCTTATTATTTTGAGATACGTTCCATCAATACCGAATTTATTGAGAGTTTTTAGCATGAAGGGCTGTTGAATTTGTCAAAGGCCTTTTCTGTGTCTATTGAGATAATCATGTGGTTCTTGTCTTTGGTTCTGTTTATATGCTGGATTACGTTTATTGATTTGCATATGTTGAACCAGCCTTGCATCCCAGGGATGAAGCCCACTTGATTATGGTGGATAAGCTTTTTGATGTGCTGCTGGATTCGGTTTGCCAGTATTTTATTGAGGATTTTTGCATTGATGTTCATCAGGGATATTGGTCTAAAATTCTCTTTTTTTGTTGTGTCTCTGCCAGGCTTTGGTATCAGGATGATGTTGGCCTCATAAAATGAGTTAGGGAGGATTCCCTCTTTTTCTATTGATTGGAATAGTTTCAGAAGGAATGGTACCAGCTTCTCCTTGTCCCTCTGGTAGAATTCAGCTGTGAATCCATCTGGTCCTGGACTTTTTTTGGTTGGTAAGCTATTAATTATTGCCTCAATTTCAGAGCCTGCTATTGGTCTATTCAGGGATTCAACTTCTTCCTGGTTTAGTCTTGGGAGAGTATAAGTGTCCAAGAAATTATCCATTTCTTCTAGATTTTCTGGTTATTTGCATAGAGGTGTTTATAGTATTCTCTGATGGTAGTTTGTATTTCTGTGGGGTCGGTGGTGATATCCCCTCTATCATTTTTTATTGCATCTATTTGATTCTTCTTTTCTTCTTTATTAGTCTTGCTAGCGGTCTATCAATTTTGTTGATCTTTTCAAAAAACCAACTCCTGGATTCATTGATTTTTTGGAGGGTTTGTTGTGTCTCTATCTCCTTCAGTTCTGCTCTGATCTTAGTTATTTTTTGCCTTGCCTTAGCTTTTGAATGTGTTTGCTCTTGCTTCTCTAGTTCTTTTAATTGTGATGTTAGAGTGTCAATTTTAGATCTTTCCAGCTTTCTCTTGTGGGCATTTAGTGCTATAAATTTCCCTCTACATACTGCTTTAAGTGTGTCCCAGAGATTCTGGTATGTTGTATCTTTGTTCTCATTGGTTTCAAAGAACATCTTTGTTTCTGCCTTCATTTCGTTATGTACCCAGTAGTTATTCAGGAGCAGGTTGTTCAGTTTCCATGTAGTTGAGCGGTTTTCATTGAGTTTCTTAGTCCTGAGTTCTAGTTTGATTGCACTGTGGTCTGAGAGATAGTTTGTTATAATTTCTGTTCTTTTACATTTGCTGAGGAGTGCTTTACTTCCAATTATGTGGTCAATTTTGGAATAAGTGTGATGTGGTGCTGAGAAGAATGTATATTCTGTTAATTTGGGGTGGAGAGTTCTGTAGATGTCTATTAGGTCCGCTTGGTGCAGAGTAGAGTTCAATTCCTGGATATCCTTGTTAACTTTCTGTCTCGTTGATCTGTCTAATGTTGACAGTGGAGTGTTGAAGTCTCCCATTATTATTGTATGGGAGTCTAAGTCTCTTCGTAAGTCTCTAAGGACTTGCTTTATGAATCTGGGTGCTCCTGTATTGGGTGCATATATATTTAGGATAGTTAGCTCTTCCTGTTGAATTGATCCCTTTACCATTATGTAATGGCCTTCTTTGTCTCTTTTGATCTTTGATGGTTTAAAGTCTGTTTTATCAGAGACTAGTATTGCAACCCCTGCTTTTTTTTGTTCTCCATTTGCTTGGTAGATCTTCCTCCATCCCTTTATTTTGAGCCTATGTGTGTCTCTGCATGTGAGATGGGTCTCCTGAATACAGCAAACTGATGGGTCTTGACACTATCCAGTTTGCCAGTCTGTGTCTTTTAATTGGAGCATTTAGTCCATTTACATTTAAGGTTAATATTGTTATGTGTGAACTTGATCCTGTCGTTATGATATTAACTGGTTATTTTGCTCATTAGTTGATGCAGTTTCTTCCTAGCCTCGATGGTCTTTACATTTTGACATGTTTTTGCAATGGCTGGTAC